GCGGGCTTGGTGCGGGGCTGGGGGCGGGCAGGGGGAATGCCTCACCCAGCACGAAACGTACCGCATGTCACTGATAAGTACATATACTATGTGAGATCTATGAAAGCTAATAGTAGCTGGTCACATTGAACTGAACAAGAACATACTCCGACATTTATATCCACACGGGTAACTTGGTCATCTTTATCCAATCACCATGGAATATTTTAAAGCAAATGTTGATTGTCCAAGAACATGACAATTTTTGCCAATTTAACAATCAACATCCGCCTTGACAAATTCTATCGAGAAGGTGACTGAGTTGCCTACCTTAATATATTTACTGAAATAAGTCCAGTCTTCCTTACTTTACCCAAAAAAAGACCCAACCAAAGATGATATTCTAGATTTTGGAGATGTTCACGAGAGAGACTACTTCATAATGTCTCCATATGGTCGGCTGGGCTACCTTGGACCCCAAAAGGAACATCCTGGTGGCTAATTATATGTGATGCATCTGAATAGTCACAGTAGCTAGATATTTCTTATAGATATGCTCTTGATATTAGGTGAGAACCATTATAGTGTATGTTTTCAAGGATGGGTCATGGTGGAAAACACGGTGGGGTTCATTTACCAAAGGCAAATAGGCTGTTCACTTTGCAATGGAAATTGCACTTAGCTTAGTGAATGTGGTGAACATTCACATCCAAAGAGATCAAAGGAAAAAAAAAAGCCTTGCACATGATTGGATGATGAAAGTCAACTCATTCACTAGGCTAAGGGAATATTCCCTTGCAAATGGGAACAGCCTATGTGCTTTTAGTAAAGTAACCCCAGTGTATCTTATAGCTGTATTGTTATTCTGTCCAGCAATCTGGTCTTGCTGGAAGTGTAATGAGATATTTGCAGAAGAATTATATTCTGATCATGGTCTGTGGTCGGGACTTGCTGGGGTGGGGGGGAAGGGTCTAGTAATCAGGTAATATTAGGGGTAAAGTGTTTGATATGCAAAGGGTAATGTTGTTGCCATATTATAATGTTCTACTAGTGGTAAGGTCGTGTTTGGTTGTTCGGGAAGTCATATTCTATGTAGAGATTATAATCAAACTGTATTATGATCATATCTAAGCATGGTTCTTGCTGGAGGTTGTAGTGTTCTATGTATAGAGTGTAATAGAATTGTATTATGATCATGTCCAGTGGTCGGCCATGTTGGGGGTTGTAGTGTTCTATGTATAGGGTGTAATAAAATTGTATCATGATCATGTCCAGTGGTCGGCCATGTTGGGGGGTGTAGTGTTCTATATATAATGTGTAACAGAATTGTATTATGATCATGTCCAGTGGTGGGTCATGTTGGAGGAGTAGTGTTCTATGTATAGAGTGTCATAGAATTGTATTATGATGGTGTCCAGTGGTCAGTCATGTTGGGGGTTGTAGTGTTCTATGCATAGGGTGTAATAAAATTGCACTATGATCATGTCCAGTGGTCGGTCATGTTGGAGGTGTAGTGTTCTATGTATAGAGTGTCATAGAATTGTATTATGATGGTGTCCAGTGGTCAGTCATGTTGGGGGGTGTAGTGTTCTATGTATAGAGTGTCATAGAATTGTATTATGGCCATGTCCAGTGGTCGGTCACGTTGGAGATGTAGTGTTCTATGTAACATTGGGCCATGTAGGGATTACGTATGGAGTGTAATAAACTTCTGTTACTGTGATGGGGTCAAGCCTAGTTGAATATGTACTGATTTGGGTTTTTAAAGGAAACATTGATACATTTGTCCTGATTAAAGCCTCAGGTTTGTTTCTGGCAATGATCATAGAAGGTAAAGAAGACATGGATGGTTGTAGACATTCTGCTGGTCCCTGTATGGAGCCGTTATAATGAAATCGAGGTTTTAGAACGAACAACTGACGCAGAGCTCAAAAGAGGACAAACAGAGGAGGCATCTCAATGGGTTTTGTTTGCCTGATCCTTTTTCCAGCGCTTGCAGCAAATGCAGATTTAAAAGCCTCCGCGTTCGCTGTTGAATGAGAGCAGAATTGGAACAAATGTTGACAGATGATTTCCCAGAGAGTTTAAATAGAACACAATTATATCTGCCTCTAGACCAAATTGGAACAAGTCTGTGAATGGAACCTAATTTCTTATTTTGTGAATTTGTAGCATAATTCTGAATAGACATCTGATTGGACAATTTATGTGAATTGTGGAATAGAGGGGGAAAAAAAGTTGTTTGTTAAAAGGAAAATAACAGAAAAGAATAGCCGCTCACGTTTCCTACGAGCAAATTTAACTCCAACAACAGAACCAATTGCTGTTTGTAGTTTGTGTTATATCTGCATTTACGTCGGCCGGCGGCATTGTCATGCATGTGCGCATGATGAAGTGTGTCTGGTTCTGGGATTTAGACTTTCACCATAATGATTTATATAGGTGTTATGTTGTATTTAAGGAGATATACTGCATTATATGTTGAAGTGACACTAAACTCAGGAGTTAAATCCTAAAAAATACATTCAAGTACCTGAACTATTAACAACAATGTATCTTATTTGTGTATCACTCGGCTGTAGATCCTCCAATCATCTCCGAATTGGTGCTGACACTGTCCTACATTCTGGAGGGGGGCTACTTTTGTCCCCCATGGGGAACAGACGTAGCCCCCCTCCAGAAGGAAGGACAAGGTCAGCACCAATTTAGAGATCATTGGAGGGTCTACAGCCGAGAGATACACAAATAAGATACATTGTATCTTAAATATTTTATCAAAACACAGCTTTCCCCGCATCACACATTTCCCCAATTCAAGAATCATAAGAGTGCGCTCTCAGAATATTTAATAAAGTCCCTCTGTGTGTCTTCTCATCGCTCAGCCCCGCAGCCTCAACGTTCCATTGTACATTAGCGTGACGTCTCGCTCTGTTGATAAATACCCAGAGCCTCCAGAATTCAGCCTCCGATAGGCCCAGGCTCAGCACAAAGCCGGCCTCTGGGGTATTTTAGCGAAAACACAATACATTTTCCTCCGTTAAGGGATTTGTTGCCAGTTCAGCGAGATTTAATTTCTTTGATCCGCAGTGTGTTCTGAACTTTATCAAAGGAACAGGTACACAGGAAGTCGGAGATTGCGCTTAATTGCACCTCATGTGTTGTTTCTTTTTTTCTGTTTAAAAGAGATTTCAGATCCCTTGTTGGGAGCAAATAGTTTCCAAATAACGCACCTTGCTCCAAGGCGGCAGTTACAGCAAAATCATATAGTTGCTGCTATTATGTTGCAGCGCTTTAGTACTTTTTTTTAAGTACTACCAAGGTAGTCTATTTTAGCTCTTCAAGGCACAGCAAATTTGTATATTTTATTCTTACAGTGAAATAGACTTTCCAAGTATGAATTATACCTAAAACTGAAGTTTAACCTTCCTTGGTTCACTAACATGTGCATTGCAGTGTAATCAGAGAAAGCAATTTCTGTTCAGGAGAGGAGCCAATACAACTGAGCAAAACTGAAGGGAAGGCCGGAGTTCAGATTTAATGTGTAAATCCACATTTGAGCTAACGAGCATACAAAATAAAATACGTAATTCCTGTGCTCCTCAGCTCCATCTAGTGGCCACTATGCAGTATTGTCTCAATAATGCATTCAACCTAAGAACAAAATATACTAAGAACGTTTGTTTTTGCCTCTGTTTACAGAGAATCAACATTCACAGGGTGAATTATTATTATTATTATATTATTATACAGGCTTTATAGAGCGCCAACAGTTTGAGCAGCACTTTACAATATAAGGAAGGACATTACAATCACAATACAATTCAAAGCAAGATGGTAAGGAGGGCCCTG